CTCAGGCCTTAGTGGTGATAGCGCTGAGAGACTTAACCTCTATGCCACCAGGGAGGCCCAAGAGACATTTTAAAAATGATTTTTAATGATGTCCCTTGTCCTTTTGGCATGGTTCTACAAGTGTTTGCCTAGGCCTAAAGCAAGCTGACAAATGTGAAGTGGAAGGAGGGAGGAGTTTTTAATGTAAGCAAGATTTGATTTTGGAGTCTTTGGCCCTTAGCAGTCGTAGTTTCCAGATCATTACTAGGTCTTTACCTGGTAATAGGGTTGGTGCACATGACAGTGCCAGAGAAGGGTTTCTAGACAAACATTCAGATGAGAAAAATAAAAAAGATGCTAATCAAGGATACCAACATACTATATACACTCTCTCTAGCACCCAGAGGTCCAAAGGGGATTCTGAACTAATTCCTGTTAACATAACAGGGCTTGCAAACCTTGTACTTCTCCCTTCATCTTCAACCCAAAGACACTGACTCAGCATTTGGCCTGGAGCCAGAGAGGCATATTCTGAATTCAGCGTGTGCAACAATGTTCAGTACAATTACGACATAATGGCTGCAAAGCTGTTCCTGAAAGCCAAGAAAACCTGAATAATGTGGTTGGGTTATATCATACATGAGGACTTAATAGAGTTTAAAAACCAATTTGAAAATTCCTTCATTCCATAAAGACTGCATTACGACCAGGGCAAAATATTCTAGTTCAAGGGATGGAAACAAAGTGCATAAGGAATTATGCAGACTCTTTCCCACATTACCCTTCTTAGCCAAAATGACCTATTCTCTTTGAAGAGAGATCTCTGATACTTAATACTGGCCCAGAAAGAAGGCAATTTCATTAAAACATCTTAGTCTTGTTGTACCCAGTTAGTAATGTGCTTCCTTGTTTAAAAAGCACAAAATCCCATTTCCAGAAACAACTGCTTGCAATTCAAAACCGTCCATCCACGCAATGTCTTCTATTCATCATTAATCCTCTATTTCCAATTCATCTTGCCAAAGTGGCAAGGTTAGCCTCCTGACCACACAAGACCTAAAAGATGTTTTATTCACTTTTAGCCATTCTGTTGCAAGTGGCTTTGGACCATTTCAGTTGCTAAATCCTGGATTTAGTATACCTGGATTTAGTATACCTGAATTTAGCATTTCCTGGATTTGTAATACCAACAGCAGCTAGGTCCACAGAAGTACAGTGCTCAACCTGAGTGTTGGGAACCATCCATTCTCGAGGTGAGGCCCCAGCAATACTCAAGTTATGTGAACTTCTAAATCCTACTTTGCACTTAACTGATATCATGGAGAGCATATGTTAATATTTTGGGACTGGGAAGTGACCTTGCAGAGCCTATTACTTTATTGATAAAGAAATGGTTTAACCAAAGTCTTTCATACTGCAGTTTTTTGTTCCTTTCTCTAAATTTTCTTCTTCAACAATGACTTATTTTTAGACATGAGACCAACAGTATTTTCAGGACTAGAAGAGATCTCCAATTTTAACTCCCTTTCTTCAAAAAACAAGAAAAAAAAATCTCAAAGAGCTTTATTTATTAATCCTCAGAGTATACACAATAAAAGACATCACATTTTATTTGAAGCTTAATTTAAGGATGGAGAGAATAAGGACAGTTTCAGCTTCAAATGCAGAATTCTTTTACTCAAAGACTGAGGTCCTGATCACTAAATCTAAGAAGATTCAGATTAATTTCATTTTTGAAGCTAGAGAAACAAAGCTGAATTTAGATCTTTTTTTCTCTCTAGTCTTAGGTCCTAAGCTGCTTCAGCTGACTGAATTTCTATTAAAAAACAGTATCCTTGCTCTTGGCTGACTGGAAGATTATATGTTTTAAAAGTAAAGAGTTAAACAAATCAAATAATTCAATTGCACATCTTTCTTCTTGACTAAACTAGAAGCCAACTATTTCATGATTAATATGAAATAGCACTAGAACAATGAGAGGAAGTTCATTTGTTTCCAGTAGTATCATTCTGGTTTCTCCTGTAATCCCATTGGTAACAGAAGGAAAAGACATATACCACATGCCTACACTATTACAAAACAAAAAACTGAACTCCTATTAAATATTAGTAAAGTAGAAAAGATAAATATGTATTTCCTTTAATATTATTTGGGCATCCTCACCTTAAAATATTGACCATACATAGGTCCTCTACTCTTAAGGCAGGCTCAAACTAAAATATTGGTGCCCTAGATAAACTAGTGATTGGTATACCTTCAAATGGATGCTTTTCAAATATTTGCTCAACAGGTATCTGGGTGAGTTGAGCATGACAGGCCTGGAGTAGGGTAGAGATAGGGCTGGTGGTGCCTTTTAGTTGCATATTCTGTTTAACAAACAAGGGTCTTGCAATTGCCCAGGCCAGATCTCCTTGGAAGGCAGTTCACAATTTATAGATTCTCAAACATGCCCTTCCCTACTCCAAACTGTTTGTCAAAGCATTCCTTCTAACTGCATCTTGTAACCTCTGAAAAGACTATTGTTCCATACTTTTCCCCCCTACCTTACCTTTCCTACCCTTCCTACCACTGGCATTACCAATGCTGTTCACTCTCCCCATAGATCTAGCCTGTGTTTAATGGCATTCTCTTTTCATTTCCATAGCATGTATTGAGTGTTTGCAATATACTCAATACAGGGGACTGTGCCAGGGACTGTGCCAGATATTGAAAACACAAAAGTGATTAAGATCCTTTCCCTCCCTTTAAAGAATTGATACCTGGGGTGGGAGAAGGATTTACAAATAATGAATACAGTTACACAGTGATGAAGGATATATTAGTAAAATGGTTGTTACTAATATTACTAGTGAAATGCTCTGAAATCCTTGGAGAAGGATAGTTTGGTACTTTGAGTTTTGCCTCTATCTCTGGAAACCTTAACTTTGGTAAGGATTGGAATAAAAAGAGAGTAATGTTTTCATGCCTCTAGTTTCCAATGGGTATAACTGTGACTGGGAGTAAGGGATATAGGCTAATAGCTTTGTGAAACTTAGTCAAATTTGCCATATTCTTCCTCAAATGATTCATTTCCTAAAACTTGCTATGAAGAAAACTTGTCTAATTCCTGCTACCTGAATAGCTACACATCCCAGATCCAGATGGTTTCTCCCCTTTGAAATAACTGCAAACAAGATTAAAACTGTACAGTGACTATTCCAGCTGGCTTTTGGATTCCTCTTGTGTATACTCCTTGAATAAAGCAGTGGCAAAAAATTAGATTTAAAATAAGAAACATAAAAAAGTCACTATTTGTACCAGATCAGCTCACGTCTTGCTATGTGTGAAACCCTGAGCCCTTGGCACTACAGTGACTGAATGCATCAGTCAGCTATCAGATACAAAAACTTTAACGATTAAAAACTTATTCTGAAGGCATCTCTCCACATTGGGTACTTAGGAGTACCATAGAGCCAGCCATTGGGAATAAAAGAGAAATACAATCCAATAAATTCCCAAGTTGGAAAATCCTCATTTCTGTTAACTTACTTGCCATCATTCCTACATAAAACCATATAACCACATTTTCTTCTGGTGAAAGAGACAAAAATATCGATCCTTCCTGGGCAGGCAGCTACTACCCATCACAGCAAGCAAGAGCAAAGAAAACCCCAGGAACCTGCACACTGATCTTAATTTTGACAAAAGGATTTTTGTAGAACTAGGCAATGCCTCAGCAGAGGAAGACCTCAGTTAATAGGCTACATTTCCCACAGAACCATTAGTTCTGCTTTACCCCAGTATGACCATCATCACTCAATACATCAGGGTACACCTGTTTTCCCCAGTGTTTTCGGCCTCAATGTATACAGTTCCAAATATTTTGAGAGCTTCATGTGCATTTTTATAAATGCTTCCTGAGATAATTACTAAATGAAAAAACTGTGGCCTCTAACAGCCGCCTCAGTGTTATGCACACTGAGTCATGGCTCCAGTGACTGCTTAACCAAATATTCTATAGTTAAAGGAGACCTGCTTATGTGGGAAATAAGCTAGAAAGTGGTGGAAAATAATAGATCCTAGATATTACCCATGTCCTGAGGAGCTGAAAATCTTGGAGTAAAACTGGGTCATTCTCTGGATTGGGGGGGGAAAGCGCTCTATCACTTCTCGGCCTTTTGGTTAAGATCAAGTGCAAAAAAAAAAAAAGCTTTAAAATATAAAATATATATGAAACACTTCGAATTAAGAAACAGAGATCACCCAGGCAAAAAACTCCTTAAACATCCTTAAAGACAGTCTTAGAAATAGGCACTTGCCTATTCATGCCAGTAACAATTTTATTGAGACTTTTCTATCTTTGGACTTATTAAAAAATGGTATGCAGCGCTGTCTGTCAGGGGTGACCGACAAAGGCTAAGTAATTACTGAGAACTGTATAGTCTCTCTGATCTATTCTCTCATTTTTTCAGCACTCAGAGGTTCTTTTGACCAATAAAGCAGAAGGGAGATCCACAGAGCCGGGCCAGACAGCCCCAGCACTCGCAAATATTCCTTACTGCACCTTTCAGTCTTTTCACCTCCTCTTAAAGATCAATATGGCTGCTCAAAAATGTTTATTTTAAAAGGCAATCATCTCAGCGGGTAGCCAAGTGAGATTATATTGCTACTTCATAGAATTCAATTAAACCCGGGGCCGGGGCATCTGTGAATCATTGGAAGCGCACGAAGTGGAGATGTTTCCTGCTTTCTCTTAAAAATCTGCCTGTCCCCCCGCCCATTAAATTGTTCACTTCCCGGAGGGACACGGCGCGCACAAGTAATACCCTCCCCCGCACCCTTCTTCCCCACCAATCCACCGCCCTTCGGTGGTTCAGGGATTTATGCCTCCCTGTTTAATTAAACTCCCTGTAAAGACAATCGAATTTGGCAGGTTGCGGCACAAACACAGGCCTGCGGGCTCTCCACCCCTGCCGACGGGCCGGCTCCGGACGGGGCGCCAGCGAGTGTCCACCAGCCGGTGCCAGGCCACCAGCACCCACCTGCGCCTCCCGCGGCCTAAGTCCACGCTTCCGCCCTGCGCCCCACGCTTCCGCCCTGCGCCCCACGCTTCCGCCCGCGCCTGCCCTGCGCGCGCCCCGCGCCTTCCCTGCGCGCGCCCCGCGCCCTGCACTTGCGCCCTTGTCTGCAGCGGGGGCGCGTGCGCGCCTCCGTGCATTTCATATCCCAGGCAAGCGCTTCTTGGAAGTGTGGCCTTGCCTGGCCGTCAAGAGAGACACAAAAATCTACGTCAAATTGTTTAAAAAAGAAAAGAAAAGAAAAGAAAAAAGCCCATGTAAAAGTGACCCGGTGTTTGGGCCTATTAAAATAAAGAGACTGAGGTGTGGGTGCCAACTTTACGGTCATGTGTAGTCCGGGTCGTTTAAACCAGCCCCTTCCTGCTGTCATGTATTCATTTATGAGTTAAATGTTTGCTGTTGTCCTCATGTTTTTTTTTTTTGTTTTTTTTTTTTTAAAGATTTATTTATTTATTTATACAAGCACTGGGTACATGTTGTCCTCATGTTACAGGGCCGGGGACCACCCTGTTACACTCGGATCCCGGCTGAACTAGGTAATGAACTTCGTGATGGAAAAAACTGGCAGCTTGTTCCCTCCCCAGACTTGAGATTGTGAAGGCAAATCAGACACTGGGAAATTATCCTTTTAAATAAGTCATGCATTTACAGAATTAACTGGTTTGAAAGGAAGGCATAGGGACCCATGAAAAAATTATGAGTGTGATCTAGTTGAATAGGTCACTTTTAGGTTGGACCTAAGGGCCTGGTGGGGCAGGGTCGCAGCGCTCCAGTCCTAGAAAGGTGGGCCTGGAGGAGTAGAGTGTTGTTAGCCCTGGTAAGGGAGGCTTAGAAGAGCCAGATAGCAGGGCCTTTCTGGTTTATGTGAAGGGCAGCTGGAGGAATTTTTGCTTTATTTTTTATGTACAGGAAGAGAGTTGACCTGATCACCTTCCTTTCTGAAAGGATTACTCAGTTTGGTAAGGTTTGAGGTAGTTGAGAGCAGAGTATAAACAGGCAAGTCAGGAGACTGCTCTGTCATCCAGGAGCGAGGTGTGGTGGTACTGTTAATAGTGAGAAAATGGTGGATAACAATACGAGTAATGCTCAAAGCTAACATTTATTGATTGCTCACCATAAGCTTTACACTCATTAATTTGTTTAATTCTGAGAACAATCCTATTAAGTATTATTAGTGCCATTTTACAGATGAAGAAATGGAGGTTTGCTAACGTGCCCTAGTTCTCGGAGCTAGAAAATGGCAGCATTTGATTTCATCTCATGCTGTCTGATGACAGTATCCATGAACTTACCATGACACACTCAGTGTGTATTCAGTAATTAAAAATCAAAGGTACAAAGGTACAAAGCAAACCAAGGTCAGGAGTAAATCCCTTAAACATTTGTGTTATTGTCAGAGGACATATCTAAACAGCATAGTTTTAAATCTCTTTTATCATTTCAGCATTTGCTGATAGCAAAAGAGGGGATTCTGTGACTGCCAACAGTCTACCTATGATTATTTTTGAGTTGATGCACTCTGATAAGATCTAATCTTTCTGGAAAAAAAAAGTCACTTGCCAAGGTGCACTCCACCTAGCAATTTCTGATAGACTATCTTTAAAGTTATCTGGTATCTAGTTATGAACAGCTTGGTGAAGCAGGCATAGCATACATTTTGTGAACTGACAGAAAAGCTTCCTAGAAATGCAACTCCAAATCAGTTCCAAATCTCATTTCTTGTTGAAAAAATGAAGCTTCATAAATAAATTGGATTTGTGAAACCTGATTTCACCAGAGGAGAAAGGACTTCACCAAAGGCCCACAATGATTTTAGCATTTGATCATGGGTACATTTCTCTAAGGAGGCAAAAATTCACAGAATTTGAGATTAACTTATAAGTCTTCGATTGACAATGATGATGATGACACAAGACTTGCTATCTTCCACATGGCTGTTTTGGTTGCGAGTGGATGCCTGTGAAATGACTAGGATTCCTTGGGAACTCACAGTGGTTGAAGGCTACTCACTGGGGAGTGACTGCCTGTATACCTTGAACGATTAGGACCAGTTTAGCATAAGACTCATATTGTCAAGTATTTGAGCTGTGCTTATAAAAATGTCTGTAATCTAACCTGGAAGAATTATTGTCTCCAAAATAAAAAAAGAAAATTGCCAAAGCAAAATTAACAAATATTTATTAAATGGTCATAAAATATATTGTGTCAGCTTCATTAGTTGCTGGATTTAGTGCTCATCACAATTTCATTACATTTGTAAGCAGTCTCTAGATGAGATGCTCTCAGCAAATGAGAGTTTCTAAGTATTCATCAGGAGTGTTGAGAAATCATAACATATTTTAAATTAGTTTCTTTAGCCAAATATTTTCAAGCACATTATGAACTCCCCTATAGCAAAATTATTAAGTGTAGGATATATACACCTTTTAATATGTTTCGTGTAATGTGTTTGGAGAATATGAAGGTCTTAGTATAGTGATAGGTCTTATATAATTTTGGTCACTCAAAATATGCTTGTCATAGGTCTTGACCTGCATCTTGTTCCCTAGATTTGAACTCCAACTTCAGGTTTTGCCCTCGAAATCTGGATAGATTTTGAGTTCCTCTCTTGGATCTCAAGGTCCTGCAAGCTCTATGGTCAGTTTTTTTTTTTTTTTTTTTAATTTATTTATTTATTATTATTTATTTATTTTATTTTATTCTGGGTACAGTCAGAAGCGCAGGAGGGTGAGAGAATTCACCAGAGCCAGAGCGGAGAGCAGAACAGGCAGAGTGACAAAGTACACTGCTGAGGGGAGCAGCGGGCACAGCAGGAGAGGTCTGCGCGCCATGTGGGACCCTCGCCGGTGGCCAGGGATCGAGCCGGCACCGCAGAGGCCGCGGGCAGCCTCGCAGCCCAGCGCTCAACCACTGCGCCACCAGGGGAGGCCCTCTATGGTCAGTTTTAAGATTGCAGTCCTCTGTGGAAAAAAAAAACAAAACTCCTGGCATGGTCTGGTCTACAAGTCCTGAGAGTCTACAACTCCCAAGGTACTTTAGAAGAGCCACCACATGTCTTCTTCCAGAGATAACCTGGAGCCAGACTACCATCCCAAGGCCTCCTGAGATGTAAATATGAGGGTATGGAGGGAGGTGCCTTCATTCCAGACACCCTTGGCTTTGCCTCTAAAGAAGGCATGAAGGAATAACTTCTGATGTCATTATTTTCCTTTGAGAATACTTTAGGAAAAAATGTATATGATAGTCACAAATAGTGACTATCATGCCAACTCTATTACAGTTATTGGCTCTATACTCAAAAATCATGCAATCTGAACTTGGACTAGGAGGGAGAGCCCTGGGAATTGTCACAATCGGGCAATGTAATCATGATGGTGGTGGTATTTAGAGACCTTGTAGGTTTTCTTCCTTAGTTTTTTTTTCTGGTCTTTATAGTGAGCTTTTTTGTTTATCTCATGAATGTCTCATCCTCAGCACTGCAAATTCTGCAGGAAATGATCTGCAAGGGCCAGATATTGTGTTATGTTTAAGGTCATAAAGAAAAACAGTGGCAACCTCCCAAAGAAAAGACAGGCTTCTGAGTCTGGATGTGTTAGGTCAGCAAGGTCATTGTTGACTCCCCCAGGCCAACCATTACAGGAAAGAGAATTATAAGCCTGTCTTACCAGGGGGAGAAGGGACCTAAGATGCCTGATTTCTGTATCCTCTTGACATTAAAAAGACTCCACACTTGCCCCAGACAGAGGAGAGTGAAGCAATTTGAAAGGAGAAAAATGTTTATTTGTTTTAAGGCTTGCTCGGTAATCCACTTTTGGCATTTACATTAGTTAAAGAACGTTTCCATGTAAACACCATTAATTATGTAGTATAAGAGCTTAAATAAAAATGCTAAAAAATAAAAGTAATTGTAAAATAAATTAGTATAGCTTGAGTGCACATATATTATAGAGAGACTGTGGACTTTCACGTTCTGTTGAGGGAGGTGGATGTGTGATTTTCTATTGCTTGAGCTACTAGGATGGAACCAACTGAAATGACATTTTTCAGACGGATACCAAAGCTGTTAAAAGTTTAAACTCATCATGCAATGAAGTTACGGTTTTCACAGGAGTCTTTTTTTTTTTTTTTTTTAAAGATTTATTTATTTATTTATACAAGCACTGGGTACAGTCAGAAGCACGGGAGGGTGAGAGAATTCACCAGAGCCAGAGCAGGGAACAGAACAGGCAGACTGACGGAAGTACACTGCTGAGGGGAGCAGCGGGTGGCAGGAGAGGTCTGTCGCCCCATGTGGGACCCTCCCCGGTGCCAGGCATCGAACCGGCGCTGCAGAGGCTGCGGGCAGCTTCACAGTCCAGCACTGAACCGCTGCGCCACCAGGGGAGGCCCAATTGTTTGTATTTGTACAGAAGGGAATGAATTCTGTGCTTCCTGCCAGGCACAAAGGACACAGACTGAAGCCATTGAGGAGACATGGCGTGGGGACCTTGTAGTACCAATTATGACGTATGTTTGTGTCGCCTTTTGTAGTATTTCAAGTGTGCCCATGTTTATTATTTAATTTTATCCTTAACAGTAATTCTGTAAGAGAAGGAGGGCTTGTATTTTACTATTTCACAGACAAGGAAATTGAGACTTAGGGAGGGAAATCACAATGAAGCAAGGACTAGAAGCTATTTCCTAACTTCTGTCTATATATTTTTCCAGTACCACATTCATATTTCTTTTTAAATGTAAATGAAAAGAAACATGGTTTGATTCATACTAATATTTTGTGGTGTGTGGGATCTTTTAAGATCATTTGAGAACGCTTACATCATTTCCTCAGGGAAAGTTTTGTTTTACCTAGAGAAGCAGGAAATGGAGTTGAAATGAGAAAGGTTTTCATTTTTATGGATTAAGCCTGTTTGTTATGTTCACTAAGCCAGGGTCATGGATGAAGATAAATTTTTCACAGCATAGAGAGGAGAAAAACATAAAAAGTGTCTCTTCCTTCCCTGATTGA